AGAGTGGAAATTTTACCATACATTTTACTAGTGAAATGTTTACTGAGTATGATTACTAATAAAAATGGTAAAATTATGGTAACATTTCAAGAAGCTCTCACAAAATTCTTCGAAGTGCCGTGTTGTCCCACGGATACATGACTGTCGGGATAAATTTAAAAGATTGGAGAAACTTTTCTCTTAAATTTTACCCTGAAAATCATGTGATCGTGAGACTATGTGACATTTTGAAGAATGTTATAAGAGTTTTTGGAAATTTTACTAGTAAAATGTATACTGATTACTAATAAAACTGATAAAATTCCAAGAAACTCTCATAAAACTCCTCGAAATGCTGCGTTGTCCCACGTATACACGAGTGTCGGGATAAATTTAAAAGTCTGGAGAGAATGTTCTCTCAAAAATTATAAGATGAGGCGCAAGTTCACGCTCGCGGCGTGCCGTAAATCTTCGGTCGCGATACACAGCCGAAACACGAAACGCGTAGACGTGGCCACTTACGATCCGCGTACGAAAATAAACCGCGAAAATTCCACGGGGCAGAAACCGATATCGAAAGCGGCCACTAGCGCGGCATCGTAGGCGAGGCAAAGGTCGCCTGTACGATCCCGAACGAAATATATTACGTAAGTTAGCATAAATCCGAACTTTCTAAACGCGCTCGCCGACGCGTCGCGCCGTCTCCGGCCTGCGATCTTGATCCCGTTCGCGGCGGTGCTACGTTGTCACGGCGGATTTGCGCCGCGTCGACGCGCGAGATGCGGAGGAAACTGCACATCTCGCACGCCCGCTGATCTCTCGCGTCCCGACCTCCGATTCTTTTCAACGTACACACGCGTCTGTCACGCGCTATTTTGAAATATCTCCGCGGACCGTCGAAAATAATGACGCGTTGACGCCCGACGCGAACGGTACCGCCCCGGCTCGGCCAACGGAACCTTCCGCCTTTTAGTTTTGCGTCGCGAAACGAGAGAGAAAAAGAGCCAAGAAAAAAGGTGCACGGCCATGGAGAAACGTCGATCGGTTCGTTGCGCCACGCCGCGCCGCGCGTCTGGCGCGCTGCAATGGAACCGCGAGCGTTTCGAATGTTAACTCCTGACGGATTACGCAAAGTCGCGAAGCGTGGATGGAAGTGTATAAACGTATGCGGAATAAGTCGAGGCTGACAAACGGACGCGCTTCCGTCCTTCGCGTCCAAAGGCTTTTCGTCGCTCATCGAAATCCTACATATCGATGTAACAGTATCTTGAAATATATCTCTATTATCGAATGGACGCGGTTCTGCAACGCGGGACCGACCGCGAAACCTCACTTTTCTGCTGGAGCAAATTTCACAAAACGTTAAAAGCGAAGTACAGCATTTTAATAATTACCATAAATCGTGTATAGATTTAAAAACACGTGAATTTGCTGACGACAATGAGTGCGTTTCGGCAAAATTTTCCGCTACAACTGTAGCGGAACTTCTTCCTCTTCATTGTTGCTTTCGCCTGATAAATTATCGAGCAATATGTCATTCATGAGCCAATCCTCAATATTTTCCATTCTATTCGTTTCAATTAATTGGTAAACGCGACTCTTACCATTAAAATACAATTTCGAGGTTATGCAAGCTAAGACAAGTATGGCGCCGCTACAATTGTAGCAAAAACGCTGTAGCGGTCTTTCCGGAACGCACTCAATGACTCCACCTAAACGAAACCGTGTTACATGTCCGAAAGTAACGGCGCGCACACTGAGAAGACAAAGTTATTGAAATGACGAAGTACGTTTAGTCGGCAGTATTTCTTCAGTTCAAATATTTTTAAGTTAAACATACAGTGATTCATTCAAACATACATCTTTACGAATTGATAAATATTTGCTTGGCAGCCCGTGATCGCCGTAAACAGTTGAATCACGAAATATTTCTCGATGCAACACTTTTTTTCTCTCAGTGCAGAACAGGTGGAAAACGGTATACGCCGGACAAAAATTTTTTTTTGCTACCACAGCTAATAGCTGTCCATATTTTACGACCGAAATTTAGTTACCGCGTGCAGTTTTTAGCTACGACAGCTACATTTTTTTTTCGTGTACGAATTCACGTATTAAATTAAAAATATTGGGCTCGGAACTAAAATTTGGCGTTTTCGTTTCTTACTTGATTCGTATGACACTGATCCTAATTAACTCTATTTGATTAGGAGCGAAATTCTACGCCGACGCTATCTGACAATCAGATACCAACGACCGGAACTATAATTGTCCTCAAATACAATTACACGTGTTGCACGCGTTTCTTTCGCATGGAAATAAAATCGGCGCCGACGCTATCGGAAATACAATTCCAACTATACTGAGATAACGTTGGCGCCGATTTTATTTCTCGCGTAAAACGCGTATAAAATATAGGCCGTAATATAATTCTCCTCGAACGCAATTCCGCGTGTTATATGCGTTTCCTCGCAGATAAGAGAGTCGAATCATTTTCGCGCAGTACAGGCCCTCGTGATCGCCTCGCAATACAGACCTAAAAATCACGAAAATGGCGCTTGGTTCCTTCTCGCGTAACCGCATCCAAAATCGCAGACTTCTACGCACTACTGGACTGCTACCTCCGAGCTGAGAAGTGAGGCAAAGAGTTCCGCCACGTCTTGTTAGGTAAATAGAGTAGTACGTGTGCGTCGGTGTGTCGCTGACATTTCAGCATCTTAGAGCTTATTAAATTCCCCTCAAAATGATCTATTATATTTTTAATTGTACCTGTAGATTTTCGGCAATTACAAAAAAAAAATCGGTGTCTCATACACGGCGACTCTCCCCTATGTGCGCATCGGTGTGCCATTGATAGACCGATGCACACGTACCGCTTTATTTACCTAGCAAGACATGGCGGAGCTCTTTACCTCACTTTTCCGCTTGAAGTAACCCCTGATCCACAATCTTGCTTTAAGTAAGCTGTAAGCCTTAAGCCGTAAGAAACTAACCAATCACAGGCCTTTATTCCCCTCACTCTTACCTGTGATTGGTTAATTTCTTACGATTTAAGGCTTACAGCTTACTTGAAGCAAGATTGTGGACCAAGGGTAACAGTCTAGCAGTCCAGCGTTAAGGTTAGAGTTACCAAAAAAACAAAGTAACTGTAACTGTAGCTTTGTTACGAGTAACGAGTTACCTCCCGACCCTGCGGTGTAGTAGTACACATACAGGGTGTCCCAGGAAGAAAGGTCAATATTCTAGGATGTGATAGTATCGGTAATTTTAAACAAAAATGTTCATATGAATATACGTCCCATTCCCCACTGTTTGAGAGACGGAGCTATTTGAATGTACAGCTGCAAAATTACCGACAAGAAAGCAATACTACGTACTATTTCTAACACTTATTGTTCAAGCGATACATTTTTTACAGATCCTAATAGATTTTCAAAAACTCCACCGCCAACGACAATGCATTTTTCAATTTCTTGTGCGAACGTGGCGTGTTGCTCGTCCGAGTACATCGTGACGTTCCTTTATGCGGGCGCTAGCATCCATTATTTGAGCGAGCAATTCGACTCGTGTATTCACTTTTCTTCCGTTTCCCTTCCACAGGACGTTTATGGGGTTGGATGAAGGGTCAAGTGTACAGAAAGAAGTAAATACACGAGACATTCAAGTGGTTCTATCTCTGAAACAGTGGGGAATAGGACATATATTCGTATGAACATTTTTGCTTAAAATGACCGATACCATCACCTCCCAGAGTATTGACCTTTCCACCTGGGACACCCTGTATAGAAGTCTGCGATCCAACCGCGCGCGTTGTAGGCGAACTTGACTTGACGGGACAGATTAAATCGAGAACGTGGGCCGTGTTAAAATGATCCATTCTTCTTTTTTTTTATCTAAGTCATGAAACTGACATTTCAGAGCAGGCATTTCGCTCGAGACGGGCGTTTCGCACGCCGGCATAATTTCTGGAACAGAGAACTCTCGGCGCTGGAACGAGAGACGTGCCTCTACCGGTGGCCTTTATGGGAATACGTGGCAATAGTGCTCAGCGGGGGAAACCCCGCCAATGAGGTGTAACACGTAATGACATCGCGGCTCGCATTTGCATTGGCTCAGGCGTGGACGAGGAAATTCGCGCCTCCGTAATCGTTTCGACAGCGAGAAAACGACGACGCGACACGCAACGTGAGCGCTCCGAGGTCAATTAATTCAGAGTAAACGCGATTCTGTAGGAGCGAGACACTGCTGGTGCGCCGCGAAAAACGAGAGACAAATAAGAGCGTCGTCGGGCGAGTCGGAGGGCCTTACGGACGGCGAACTTAACGGCCGGGAGTAGACGCCTCCTGGAGGCGCGAGAGCCGGCGGGCATTCCGTCGAGCGCGTACGGGGGGTTAAAAACGGATCGTCAGCGTTTCGGGCCGGCACGATAAGGAGACGCCGAGGTACTCACCTTAGGGACGATCCCCCGATTCCGCAACCTCCTCCCGCGTCGCGAGCCGCAGGTGAGCTCGGGCACCGGTGAGTTCAGCTCGGTCGCGCGGCGTGGCCGCGGGGAGAGTCGTCTGCGCGGCTGGCCGTTGCCCCGAGTGTCAAACGGCACGGACAATGGCTCGTCCTGACGCTCGCCGGCCGCATGTCAGGGACGCGTGCTCCGACGAGTGCTCGAGCAGGACCGGACGGAGAGAGTGTGAGAGAGAGAGAGAGCGCGAGCGAGACCGAGGGTGCGAGGGAGAGTGAGTGAGAGAGAGAAAGCGCGCTTGATAAAGGGGGAGAGTCTCGGCGTTTTTACGCCCGCGCGCGCCCTCCGCGCACCACCGCAGCGACGCCACAAGAGAGACGCGTCCCCCCGCGTGCACGCGCGCTGCCCCCAGAAGGTCGGAAAACGCGCGTCCCACCGTACGCGCCGCGCGACGCACCGTAACGGACTGAAGCGAAGCGAGCGCGTAGCGTAACAACACCGTGCCGCCGTTCCGTACCGTACGGTACCGAGCCGAACCGAATCGCCGCCGCGGCGGACGCGAGCGCGCCCGATCGCCGCCGCGACCGGCCGCCGAGGCTTGCCGAAACGCGCGGGGTTAGGGCCGCGCCGTCCCTCTCGCTCTCTTTGCCATTCTTTCTTCCTCTCTTTCTTTGTTTCGAGTTTCTCGCTCTCCTCCCTCTCTCTCTCTCTCTTTCTCTCTCTGTCTCGCCCGTACATGGGATGCCCGCCGCAACCTAGCAACGGCATCAGTGGAAACCTCCAACGCGCGCTAGACTCCTTCCTCCGCCCCCACTCTCTCGCGATCTTTTGACGACGGGCGGGCTCCTCTGCCCTTTGGCGAAAAAGACACTCCGTCGCGATTTGTTACCCGAGCGAGGTGAAAGGAGAGAGGTCACGCGCGCCGTGACGGTTGGCGCTTCGTTAGCGAAACGTTTCCGTTCGAATTAAGCTCCCCGCGATCGGCGTTCTCTCACGCGCACCCGCGCGCGCGCGAGGCGGGTCCTCCCGCGCTCCGCCGCGCGTGGTGAAGGCGCGCGTGATCGCGACTCGCTCGCGCCTCCCCCTCGCGCGCGTACATACCTCTTCGGAATCTCGCGGTGACGTATCCCGTGGCCGCCTGTGCAAACCGCGAATTTGTACGCCGGTACAAATTGCCGGTCACATGAGCCGATACGCATAGACGGCGGACGCGTCAGCCGCGGTGGTTTAACGAGCGCCGCAAACACATGTACGCGCGCGTCGACAATTTTCGCGAAAGGCCGGCCTGCCGACCGAGCACGTGAGTGCCACATAAATTCATGAAAAAAAAAAGAAAAGAAAAACGAGACCGCTCTCGCGCGCGCGCGCGCACCCGCGTCTTCGTATGTGTTTTACGAGTCGACCAGTTCGAACTGGTTGAAGTCACATTTGACCACGAAGCCCGCGACCGCGAGTCACACCGACGCGTCGCGTAAATTGCGAGAAGCTCTCCGCGGCGGGGAAGACCTGCGTCGACACGGCACGTGAAACGCGCGTGCGAACGTTTAGTCACGAGGGAAAATCCTGAATTAAAAGAATTACCTTGAAAGAGAAACCTTGAAGATACGCGGAGGATGTCGCGATGTGTAACGAGCGATTCCATTTTTCCTACTGGATTGCTCGCGAGAGCCAATCAGGCACTAGCTTTAAGCGATCGAAAACTCTGCACCCTAATTGGCCCTCGTGAGCAATCGAGTAGGAAAAATATCGCGCGCCGTTGGCTCAAAACTCTGCGCCCTTATTGGTTCCCATAAGCGAACGCGGTAGGAAAAGTAGTGCCGTTGGCTTAACAGATTGATACTCGCAGGAAACTCGTATTCTATCTGCAAACAAGGGAGGGTGGAAAAGAGAGCAAAGATCCTACTCGACGAGATATGAAACCCTCTCCCTCTTCGTCCTCCGCACGATTTCCATTCGATTCCGGCGTTTAATTCGGCTCGCGAATGGCGGCTCGATACGAAGGTGTTTGCGCGTGTGCGTTACGCTTTTGTAAACACACTCCGCGGGGGGTGTCGGACAGTCACGCACTGTCTATACTGAGCGGGCGTTATTTCAAATAGCAGGTCTGGCACGTGTACCGATTATATCGGCAATTTGTTCGGGCTCCTTTGCGCTCGCACGTGTCGCGCTTTCCGAGGTCCTCAGAATTTCGAGCGCGCACGTAATCGCGGGTCGATACCTGCGACCGCAAGGTCGACGAAGGATGACGAGGAAGACCAGCGACCGTCTTCAAGCCTTAGAAAAATACAGCGAAACGTTTTCTAGGAGCGCGGGCTTGTACAATACAGTGACGGACAGAATGGTCGAAGCCTTTTTCTTTTAGTGAGTTTAGGAACGCGCGTTTAGATTCAGGGCTGCGCTCCAAAATCTTTCCCGAGGAATATTTTACCACACGGCCATTCCGAAACCATTTTATACGTTCTCGGTCTACTTCTCGAGTAAAATTATCCTCAGGGAAAATGTTTTGGAACATAAAGCTAAATCCGAGGGGGAAACCGCCGACCAAAGTCTTGTACGCCAATGCCCACTAATGCCCAGTGGGCATTACTTTATCTTATTATATCTTTGTAATGCCCAAAAAATACCTAGCAATGCCCAGTAATGCCGCAAACCTGTACACCACAATGCCCTCGGCGTTTTCCCCCTCGCCTAGATCTAAATGCGCGCTTCTAAACTCATTAAAGTGTCGCAACCATTCTGTCCATCACTGTATGTAATACAAGATAGCCACATCCAATTTCACAAATTTCTTTTTCGCAACAATTACACGCGCGATCCAACAACGAATTTTCCACCAAACACTTAACTCCAAGGGCAATAAATTCACGGTGGAACCAACAGATGATGTCTATTAACTGGACAGAAACGTTATCTCACATTAGGAGCTTGTCTTGTAATAGACGACTTTTGGCGATCGCTTGGTACACGCGACCAAAGTGTACCAGAGCATACACTCGGCGTCATGGATGCTTGTACGCCTGAAAATAGCCGTCAAGTTCAATATATTCCGATAGAACAATTCATTGTATTAAAATAAATTTGCCAATTGGATATCTTTAGCGTCTTTCGTCAGGTGTAAAGGCATTCGTGACGCCGAGTGTGCACCCTGGTACACTTTGGTATAGCAAACAGTCGCCAAAAATCGCCTAATAGGGGGATCTTCATCTACGTTTACGTTTACGAGAAACGATTCGCGGATCTGCGGATTCGCCTCGCCTCGCCGCGAAAGCGTCGGAATTTTTTCGCCGGGCGGTCCCTCGCGAGATTCCAATGCCGCAATCGGTGGAAAAATAGAAGGAAAAAGGTCACTCTCGCGTGGTAGCGGAATAACGATCGGCGAAATGAAGCGGATTCGCCGTGGTCGTAAAGGTATCCTGGGGATGGAGAATTAATTGGCTCGATAGCGCGACACGGCGCTTATTTCGCGCGTAAAGTAAATTCAAATGTAATCGCTCACCGTGCGAGCAGGATCGTTTAATAAGACAGATTACGCGCCGGGCACCGGCCATGTCAAATTTACTTCTCATTGTGTTCTATCGTTTGCTCCGCTTATCCGTTTATGGCGTTTACTCACGCCGGACCTCGTCGCTACTTGCGCGGCACGAAACGAGAATGTGTGACGAATGTTTGTTCGAGCGCCCGCTAAAAAGGGAAGCTAAGCCTTCCACAGCGGGAATAAGAAGAGCCTCGAATAGTACGTGAATAGAAGTACTCGATTGAAGTACTCAAATAATTGTATCTTCCACCGAGCACCACAATTTCTATTTCATATCCTCGCAAATTTGTTTGGCAATTCTCTTACAATTAATCTAGTAAACAGACTGTATAAATAGACTGAAGATTATATCACGATACAATTTCAGAATTAATTTCTACGGCTAGACGTGCCTTCATCAGGACGCGTCGAGGCTTTACAAAATTCAACGGGAAAAACTCTCTGACAATTTCAACAACGTTCGGAAATACCTCGGGCCGCGCGCGGTACAAATTTGTGTTGCACGAAACGCTGATAAGAGACCTCATTAACGCGACTTTAATTTCATCAGTGCTGCGACGTCAACGACGGCCTTTGAGAAAGCATCGAAGAAATAATTCATAATGCATACGAGTCTCACGACGGTCCTCCGATTAAATATAGACGGCTATTAAAATCTCGGGACCGAGTAATCGTTCAGCCGAATTCGATAAACGCTCTTGTCTCTGATATAATTAGCCCCTCGCGAACGGAGCCCCGTAACGTTCCACGATATTTTTCGCCTCTGACCCGATTAAACGGGCAGAAAATACGTTAAATGCAGCACGACCAAGTAACGGCTGAACATCAATCGTCCATAGTAACGTAACAGCTATAATAACATTATCCGCTTAAACAACGTAATCCTCAATCAATAGACTCCGATTTACTCTCGGCCTTTTTACGCGCTGATCGACTCCTCGCCTCTTCCAGATATCCTTTTAATCTGACTGTGGCGAAACGGCGTGGTTCCTCTCGTGCGATGTTCCTCGAGCGTCGTCCCCTGGGTTAGTTTCCTACTGAATCTCTTTGCCAGCCGCCTTTTCGCCTGTCCGGAGGTCTGCTTACGACGTCTCCAGTCTTTGTCGTCGCCGCTGTCGCCGAGACGTTTCTCCAGCACGTATCCCGCCATCTTCCTATCCTTGGAATAGGGCAGTTTGGCGGCCGACAGATTGTACAGCTTCTTGGTCGCGATCCGATCTCGACGGCGCGACGATCTGAGGACGTCGAGGCGCGACGTCGCGACGGCGGCAGCTGCGGCGCTGATCGCCCGCATCCTCGCCAGCCGTTTCAGCTGACGGCGATGATGGGGATCCCGGATCTCGCACATGAGGCGAGACGTCCGTGTGCGTTCAAGCTTCATGCCGACCGCCGGCACCGCCGACGTCGTGCAGTCGCCCTCCTCGCACGACGCGCTCTCCACGCGGTCCGAGGGACACAGCGTCATACACTCGGCGCTCTTTTCGGCTTCTTCCTTGGTAGCGCAATTCCTCTCGCAATCCCTGTCGCATCCCGGCGAGCTCTTGTCCTCCCCGTCGCAGTCCTCCGTCGCGGAGTCACAGCTCGTCTCGCAGGACTTTACCGATGTCTCCAAGCTCTCGCTCTTGAATTTGCAGCCTTCTAAGCAGGACTTGACGCAGTTATCGCCTGTGTTGCGTTTCACAGTGTTAATCTTCGACATTTATTTACAGTTATACATGTGTTTGAGATGCTTTACAGTCTGTTTTGTAATGTATCTGTTAAATGAACGAATGTGTACGTAGAACGAGTATTTTTCCCGAAAAGCTTATTAGATTAACGTCAGAAATCGTAATTTTTTTTTTTCCTAAATTGAGGAGCGAAGCTAGCGCGACTAGCATTTATCTCATATTATAAACAAAGCTGTATAAAATGTAATATAATACTATTTTACCTTTTGTAACCGGCGTTTTGCTCAACTCTGTCGTCGAAGAAACCGCAGACTCGCTGACGAAGTTTTCATAGGTCGATGATGGCTCGGAGGGCGTTTCTCGAATAATTTCGTGTGTAGAAATCCGCATCGTCGGCGCCGTCGTCGTCGTCGGAGATCGCGTCGTCGAGAGCAGAGCAGTTGTCACCTCGACACTTTGCTCGCTACTTTGCTCGCATTCGTTGGACTCGCAGGATCTCATCGGGGCAGGTGTCGTAAATACGGTCAAGTTTCTCAGGGGCTCCGTAATCCCGGCACGCGGAACGTTGACTGTCCTGATAGTCGAGTGCTCCAGTTTCATCACCACGTCGACGATCGGTAGCTCTGTCGTGACCGTAGGCGACGCGGTAGTCGTTGCAAGCAACGTTGAACTGGCCGTTGTGGTCGACGCTGTGGTGGTCGTCGTGGGTAACGTTGTACCAATCGTCGTGGGCGACGCTGTCGTAGTCGTCGTGGGCAACGCTGTCGTGGTTGTTGTCGACGGCACAGTGGTAGTCGTCGTGGGTGACATCGTAGTGGTTGTCGTAGTTGTAGGCAACGTTGTCGTAGTCGGCGATAATGTGGCAGGCAATGTCGTAGTCGTTGTGGGTAACGGCATAGTTGTAGGCAACGTTGTCGTAGTCGGCGATAATGTGGCAGGCAATGTCGTAGTCGTTGTGGGTAACGGCGTAGTTGTTGTAGCTGGCGATGTCGTGGTCGCAGGTAAAGTTGTAGCGGTTGTCGCGGCCGTGGTTGTCTCGGCTGCGAATATCTCTTCTTCCAGCCGGGTCGTCGCGACCGGCTTCGTGGGCTCGGGCGTGGTCCTCGGCGCAGTCGTCGTCGTCGTCGTCGTCTCTCTCGTAGACTCTGTAGAACTCCTTTCCTTCGAGGACTTCGGCGGAGCCGCTTCCGTCGTTTCGTCAGACACTTCAGACTCCTTAGATTCGGTGCTCTCCGTCGTCTCGCTTCGGTCTTCGACCGTGCTGCGGTCGTAGACGCGTCGGGTCGTAGTCTCGCCGAGGAAGGTGCTCGCAGTTTGCAATACCGTACTTACCCGCGTTCTCGATATCTTGAACGGGATTTCCATCGAGCGTCTCGACTCCTCTATCAGGCGCACGGGCTCCACGCACACGTCGCTCAACTCGATGAATTCCTTGATGGAGTCCTTGATTTCGGTACTTACGAGCTGGCAGTGTAAGACCAGTTGCAGGCCTATTCGTAGGCAGGCTCGCGGAGCATTGCAAAGAATCTCAACGGGGACGTCCTTCATAGCTTGTAGGCTCTCCTTGAGCCAGTCAATCTTGCGCATCATGTGCAGATAGCGCGGCACCTGCCGCAGATTCTCGTAGGTGTCAAACAGCTCCAGCAGCTCGTCGAGGCTCTCGATCATGCGACTCCTGCGCCAGAATTTGGCGTGCATCCGCAGAGACGTCGCGATGCTTTTAGCAAAGTCGATATCCCTCAGCTGCTCGGTGATCTCCAACATCAGCTGAGCGGGGGTGGCCTGCTGATACCTCTGCACCCTGAGATATTTCTCCACCACGTTGAATTTCTTTAATTTCGTCACTAGGTATTTCTTCGCCTCGATGACGTCGCTCTCGAGCAGGTCGTCGGGCAGCACGAGATCGAAGAGGTATTCGACGTGAATCGTTCGGTTCTCGTACACGTTCCCGAGCAAGTGGATGTTCTCGTCGATCGTGCCGACGTCGTCGGCAATGCTCCTCGCGATGAGGAGCGCGTGCTTCTTCAGATCGTCGTCCAGAAATTTCTTGGCGTACATGTCGAAGTAGAACTTGAGGAAAGAGTTGACAGTGTGGAACCTGCTCAGCTCCTTAGTCGGCATCGGAATCTCCCGAGTCGTCGCGATTTCGCGATAGTGTCGCACGAGCTCCCTCTCGGCGATGAGAACGTCGTCGTCGTAGTTCTCGTACCTCACGTGCTGGAGGAGCCCGGAAAGCAGATTGGGCGTGACAGTCAGCATCTGCCGTTGCAGAAATCTCAGCGTGGTCGCCAGGGAGAAACCTCTGGGATACTGCTTCGATATCTTGGACGAGCGGTATATCCGGTAAGTGACATTCAACGCGGGCGTGTCGCGATCGTCGGGATGCGGGAGATCGTGTTGCCTCCTGATTCTGCGGCACACGCTCGCGCTACCCCTCAGACAGGATTGCGCGGCGTGATCGTAGATCTCGGCGCAGATCCTGGACGGCCGCGTGTCCGGGTTCCTCAGCACGCTGGGGACCAGGTTCAACACGTCGTACTGACGCTCGAGGATCTCGCGATATACCTTGCGCAACGCCTCCACTTCCGCTATGCTGAAGTCGTCGTAATAGACGTACAGGAGTCTGCCGAAGGTGTCGAGTATCCGCGCTCGCAGGAGCGCACCGAACTGCAGCAGATGCTCCGTGGCCTCTTGCAGCGTGTAACTCGCTTTCGGCGCCACGAAATTCAGTTGCTCGAGATAGTCGCGGCTCGTCAAGATTACGTTGCCGTTTAAATTCGTTGCTATCACGTCGTGTCTGTGGACCTCGTAGTTGACCGCCTAGAGAAATTGGGACATGAAGCAACCGAGGGTGGTCGACTCCTTTCGTTGTTACACGGGGGGAATTTTCTCTTAAAGTTTACCCTGAAAATCGTGTAATCGCGGGACAACGTGGCATTTTGAACAACTGCGTAAGAGTTCACATGATTTTCAGAGTGAGTTTTAAGAGAAAATTCAACTGCGATAATTAAGTTTTCAATCGACCATAACTGGCAACGTGTTTTTACCACAGAAAATTTCTTCCGAAAATTATTACCTCAGCCAGGGTTTGAACCTGGACTTCCCTACTCTCAAAGGCGGGTGTTCTCACCAGTTCGACCGCGCTGAGGCACGTTGCCAGTTATGGTCGATTGAAAGCTTAATTATTGTTAGTCGCGTTCTGACGTCGAATAATTCTTCAAATTCAATTGCGTTCAATTTGCGAAAGGATATTCGACAGGGCTGAGAATCCAAGTTGCTGGCACGGTAGGCATTCGCTTCGATCGATTATGCGAAAATGGTGTCGCCGCCGCGGCGGTCGGATCGGCTAATAACGTTATCGGCTAATTCTCTAAATTCGATGGCCACCCGGGCGATTTTTTTATTTCTTTCGTCTTCCCCGCTCGGTTACTGCGAGGGTCGCGAAGAATTTAACGATCCATATCGGGCATCGTTCTCAATGTTAACTCGTCCAATAACACGCCGGCGATATTGGGATGTAATACTGTTATTCACGTCGAAGTAGATTATCGCTGACAGTTGGCGTCTCTAATTTGACAAACGATAACCCAATAAATCTTTCGAGAAATAGGTGAACTGTCTCTCACAGCGGATAACGCGCACGATTTTACTACGAACCATAAATGTTCGTTAATACTAAAGATAAATCTTTAAACAGTAGAGCGCAACGGTACTCGAGTACGACATATCAGTAATCTAAAAGCTCGCAATTGCTCGTTTCTAATCGAACAAAAAAATTGTAATCTTTCATTTGTGGACATTTTCGAAAAATGCGCATGACATATTTTGATACAAATAATATAAATGTTAAAATATACTCAAGTGTATATCTTATTAAAATTTACATGTATTTCATGTAAATAATTGAAACGGGGAACTTATAGTCAACCCGACTGGCGAATGCAACGTCTCGACCCTATTTTTTGGGTCCTTATCAAGCAGTGCCAAGTGAGTCATCGTCGTCACGTAAGACAGAGTCGAATTATAAAAATACGCGTACATGTTAGCACTGTGGCTGCTGGGCTCGAGCTGGAGTTCGACACATGTACGCGTATTTTTATAATTCGACTCTGTCTTATGTGACGACGAAGACTCACTTGGCACTACTTGATAAGGACCCAAAAAAATAGGGTCGAAACGCCGTATTGAACAATTAAAGGGATACGCCAGTCGGATTGACTACAAGTTTCCCGTTTAAATGTTTAATCATCACTGGTGACTACATAAGCAAACCCTCCCTTCGTTATTTAAATAAATTTATTTCAAAGTGTATCGAAACAAATTAAAAAGTAGGAGAAAATTCCCCCTCTTTCCTTTCGCTCCCTTCAACCGGCCAACTTTCCTTCGCGTCAAGGTCGGGTCACCCCCGCGGTCTCACCTGCGCGGACGACACGAGCAGCAGGGTCAGAGTGAGCCCGATCCCCCGTACCGCGATCCGCGATGACATCGTCGGTGCCATAACTCACACTCGCGAGACGACGCAGACTTCGCTCCGACAACAATGCAAACCGATCAAGCTGTCGCGTAGCTTATATAACGTGCGCGTGCACGTCTTTTATGACGTGCACGTGGGTGAGGACGGCTTGTGCGGCGGTGCGCTGTGTGGTCCAAGTGCACACGGCGAAATTGAAATTAATCATGAACACGACGATACGGAGCCCGCCCTGAGAACCCCCCGAGGTCCACCTGCATAAGTTATCTCGCGATCTGCCCGGACGCTCGCGAGCCGCCTTCCCGAACGCTGTACAACTTCCGACCTAATGGCACTTGCCGGTGCAAACAGTCCAATCGAAATGATATCAATATGGCATCGAAATCGTTATTTGCCGTCGCTGCATCAAGGAAATGTCTGAACACGATGTAACATTGACACTGTTTTCACGCTGTACGCAATAAAAGATCATATAGAAAGGCGAAAATAGATGTCTAGATGATAATTGTAGTGTTATACCAGAAAAACTCAAACATGTCACGTTGACGTCAAAATGACTACATTATGATGAGACAATATTTAACTTGACTATTTCCTCGTATCGCAACTTCTGTACATGTTAAACGTTTCAAGTTCCCATACCTTTAATTTGTTATATAAGTTATTTTTATATTTTAACATACAAGTTTCTTCGAATGACAGTCCAAATCACTATCAAGGCATAGGACGTTTTGCAGTCGAGTTATTATCATTTTGCCATTGTTTCGGCTATTCCTATCCCTCATCAATTTGATGGCATGTTGACACTTTGATTAGGCTATTCTCGCTGGTTAATCTCGTGAAAGAGCTCTTAAAAAATTTGGACTTTATCGGGAACGCTTTTACCTACGAGCTACTTTATTAAACGTTCCACTTTTCCAGATCGATCTCTTTCTCTCTCGCCCTCGCTGCAGCCTCCTGAAAATTAATATTTGATCGGGATCAACCCCGATCGAAGCCCGACCGTTCCCAAGGAGGGTGTCGCGGCTACGCGACTACTTCATCCGTAATTCTGCCCACCTTCGGCCGAGCTTGCGCAGTTTCCACCCCAATATGGATTCTTTGAGCGATGCATGGCTCGCGCCAAGGGCGCAGCGATTTCCGCGGAATTTCGCGTCGGGGAGAACACGCGAGTACGATCGCCCGTCGCGACGCCCGGCACTTACGGCCTGCGGTCTGCGTCGTCGTGTAGCTGGGGGCCGGCGTAATGTCCGAGGACTATCAGCACGCCTGCGAAAGGGCGGAATTGCTGGGCTTGCCGAGGCCCAGCGAGGAGGAGTGGAGGCAGTCGCTGGCGGCGCAGACCGAGAATCGTCGCGACGACGACGGCGACGACGACGATGGCGCATTACAGGTATAATCGCGCCGCGCCTCGCTCGCGCTAGAAATTCAAAGTCCGGGGGAATCCGAATCTGGAAGCGTCACCGAGATAACAGCCTGAATCTCTAATCGGGCACGCCCGCACCCCGACGAGGCTGTCCGCCTCGTCAACGAGGATTACAAATCTTTCCTTTTTATAGCCAAACATCAGGGCGTACTCGGTAGTTTTCTTTGAGCTTTTATCAGTTTCGTTTCCCCTCTTCTTCTCTCCCACTCATCGTCCATTCTCTCTCTCTCTCTCTCTCTTTTTCTCTCTCTTTCTCTCTCGCACGTTTATGAACGGCTAATGCACCTACGGCGATATCGCGTTCGCGGTAGACGTTACGCAGCAGAATCGGGTTGCGCGTCCACGTGCGGCGAGCGAGATGAAGCCAGATCATCCGTAATAAATCGCTGACGCCGTGGAGCTGATCGCCGGGGGTTCATTAACGTCGGCGCCCGTCCACGCGTGTCCGCGACATGATTTGCCTCACGATCACCGCCTCTTATCTCTTAGGACTTGGATTACGCGGACGAGTCGACCAAGCGCATCGGCGGCGGTCTGGATGAGCTCAACACCATTCTGAGCACCACGCAGAAGAAGCTCAACAGATTCAAGGTGACTTGGGATAATTAATTTGCCGTGCGCGGGCCAGCGCGCGCGCTCATTTCGCATGTTGCTCGAATTAATTATTATTTTGTCATAACGATAGCGCGGAATTTTTACGACCGATACGACGCGGGCGCTTTATGTTCTTACCCGCTCGCTAAATTGATAACGCTTTCCTCTCCTGCACCGCCGCCGGCTCTCCGCCGCGCGGCCGCGACGGCTAAATGAATTGTTCGTCACTACGCGCTGACGAGTTACAGATAAATCGAACATTACACGCGCGGCGCGCTTCCCCGCGTTTTTCCACCGCGGGAGATAGAGGGAAAGGAGGCCGCTGTATGAAATAAACAATTCCGCAGACAGTCTGCGGTAGTCTGGGAACGTTGCTCAAGGTGAAGGTGCACTCCCGCGGCGGAACGCCGCGTCACAAGCCCGAGGAGCCGAACCCCGACGAGGGCAGGCAGGAGAAGCCGGAAGCCGAGGAGGTGATGACGGTGGAGACGTCGGATGACGCTGCCGCGGATCAGCCCGCGGATCAGCCCGCGAACAGCAGCGTCCAGCCGAAGCAGCTCGATCTCGGCCAGAAAATGGGATCCCACCTGGACAAGCTGGACTCGCTAATCACCAAGGCCGAGAACGCTCAATACAGTATGCAGCATCAAACGAAGCAAATGAAAAAGTTCCTTAAATAATCAGCAATAAACGAAACGAGTCGCTAATTAACGAATTAACCGGCTGGACGAGGAAAATTCCCGACTAAATTAACCGTATCTTCCATTTCGAATGAAAATTCGTACGAGAGAGTATTTTGCAGAATACACCGCGCGCGTTAATTATAATTACAATCCCGGGGTGTTTCTTGGCTTTGACCGATAAATTTTACATTCTCGTAGATGTGCGTAGTTGCGTAAGAAAAAAAAAAAGACACGATAAGCGATTTCGCAAGCAAGCCAGCGCGTGTAGCAAGTCGTATAAACTTAAATTGTTACATTGCACATATAAAGTTTAATTGTTGCATCGAATACCTTTCTCGCGGTATATTTATCAGAATCGCGAGGAGAATCTTGTGAGTAAGTGTTATCGATTCTTTTATATGTCGCGCGACGCTCCCTTTGTCGCGAGAAGCCCACTATTGTTACGATAATACGTGTATTGTCAAATGTATGTATATATATATATATATATATTTATATATATAGCAAAACTGTATGTTATTTAATTTTAAATGGCACTCTGTAAAATATCTAATAATAATTTTATCTATATATATACATATATATACGGATATTGTTGACGAATGTACTGTATTGTTATATAGACGAGTATATATTTCCGGTAATTGAGGCTTTATGCTTGGATCCTTGACAATACCGACATATCAGGTGTAAGAGATACGGAAAGGCATGTTGGCAAATCGCGAGCCAGTGATGAGCTTTCCTATTCTGCAAATGTGATATTGTTTTACATCGATTTAGGGATTGTATTATGACTTCCTACGATCTATATATATTTTATTATCGAATAGTTTGCGCTCTGTCTCTCTCTAAGTCTAAGTTGTGACTGCCGCATACTGACACAAATAAACGACGGGTGTAGCTTGCCTTAACCCTCCCTAAGTTCGGCGACACTTCTTTTTTTCTTTTGTGAAAATATTTTCGTAATAGAAATTGATAAAAAAAAACAAACTTAAAATTTACTTTACATTTAAAAAAAATAGGCAACAGAGCTCCGTGACGGTACAATCACTGAATTTATTATAAAGAGAAGTAAATTGTCTACGATGTATCACTCTCAAATAATATTAATCACGAACACTCTCAGTCTCATTTCATTCGCACGAATTATTCCCCCGCGATTTCCCGAGAAATCGGCAGTAATGGAACTTGAAAGCACTGACCGATATCGACTGGCTATTCCTTTCCACGCCAAGAATGACTATTGGCTATTGGCTTCCAAGTCCATATCCGACCAGATGGCTTCAGTCTCGCTCTCCTCGGGCGCGTCGTCGTTATCTGTGTCCGGTAGACCGTCACCGACGTCGTACGTGGTATCAGCCTGTTCCTCACCGACAGACATATAATAGGCGGAATCCAATTTGCTAGAAGAACTATCTAATCGATGCATTCCCTCTATAGCCCTTCTGTTGTTCGGATCCAAGCTGAGGATAAAAGATGGATAAGCCTCACCTAAACGCGTAGCGTTAATCAACAGTTACAAAAGTGGCATACGTACTTTAAAGCTATGGCATAATGATCTAAAGCCTTCTCCTCGTTGTGTACTCTCGCCCACAAGTCTCCCAAGGTTTGATGGAGCTTGCAGGTGGAATGAATCTCCACCTGTCTCTCAAGTAGTTCGATGGCTGCATCCAAATTCATTTCCTGCTCGTATATCTCGGCGAGCAAGTACACGGCAGCCAAGTAGACCTCATCTTGAGACAATGCTTTTTCAAGAAGGTTCTTAGCCTTGCTCACCGACACTGGATCTTTCATCAAGACGGACGCGTATAACTGCAAACGTAATGAGATGTTCGTTTGTCGTGCGTTTAGATTAACATTTCGCACTTTCTTTTCAACCACAACTCACTGTCAGAACCCTCGCGGTATGCCCGAGTTGTTTGCAAGAGCTACTGGCGATATTCAGTGCCTCTCGCAACCTGTGCATCCCGACGAGACAATCCACCAGGCCTTTATGCGGCTCATATCTGTACGGCTTCAGTTGCACGGCGTGCCTAAAGAAGAATAACGCGTCCTGATACTTCTTCTGCTCGATGAAAATATTGCCACGTAGTATGGTGGCCTCTATGTCGTTAGAATTCAGGTTCAACGCCTGAGCGGTGAGCGTGTTCGCCCTGCTGAATTTTCGAGCGGCGTACAGGGAATACGCCATCGCCACGTAAATCTCGCCGGTGCACTCGTTGTTAGTAGTTATCGCCGGTATCAACCGCTCCAGTTCCTTGATGTGATGCATCTTGTACAGAACCGCGGCATATATGTCCACCCTGCGGAAAAGTAGCGAACGATAAACACCCCTGCGTGAGATACATGTGCCCCGACAAGCCCCCGAATGACATCGATCAACTTACCCTTTCGTTATGTCCGGCTCGATGACGCGGGCTCGCCTCAGGCATAGCAGAGCGTTCTTGTCATCGCCCGCGTAGTAGTAACACTCGCCCATGATGGTCAGCAAATTGAAATTATCCCTGAGGAGAACAACGTTGTCCAACGACCTCAGCGTGGTCACGGCGTGGGTGTATTCTCTGTTATGAATGTGAGCGTGAGCCTTGATCCACGTGTTGAGCCACTCCAGGTTCATCGAGCTGGAGACGGAGCTGACGATCAGCGAGTTCACCTCCACGCCCTTCACCCCTAAAGACAGGAGACCCTCGGCCGCTTCCAGGGCCAGCGGGCACTCCTTCAAGACTTCCTTGTACGTGGTGATGGCAGAGCGTTCCATCCCCTGCTCGTGAAACATCTTTGCCAGCGCCATGTTCACCTTGGCAGTGCGCTGCTTGCCGGGGATGCTCTGCAGCACTTGCAGCGCTTCCTGCAGATTCTTGGACTTGACCAGGCACAAGTGGATTTGATACTTGATGTTGACGTCCGACGGCAGGTCCTTCTGTCCGTCCAGCAGCGGCTTCCCCGTGCCCTTGGACTTGAGCAGACACTTGCGGAACTGCAGAGCCTTCTTGTAGAGGGTCTCCGCTCTGCGATATTTGCCCAGGTGAAAGTGAGCGTCCGCGTAATAGACGTACACGTGAAACTTGCTGTAGCCGGGCAGCAAGTCGGCATTGTGCTCGCTGAGCGAGAGCACCAGATTCGTCAGGGAGATCAGGTTGCAGTACAGCGCCTGATCGTAGAGCTGCTTGATCTGCTCGAACAGTCCCGACATGGCTGATATATTCCTCGGGGCCTCGCGACAACAATGTCAAAAGGGAGCGTGAGATTTTCAGAATTTCGCAGAGCGTGACATCGCGCAGGAAACTTTACGAGATTTCTATCTCCATTCAGGAACCCGTTCTCTTCTCCTCCTGCATTTCTGCGTCGGCACTTGAGACCGCGTGAATTGCTCGTCCCTGTTGGAAATATTCGTTTTGTTGTGCTTCAAACCCGCGTAAATATAACCTGAAAGATCCGCCGTGGCCACCGTCGACGCCTCGAATGCGACACGACCTCTGCGGACATCGCGAAACGTCGACACGAACTACGTAGCCGGCATCCACATTTTGCCGATTCGCACGAGATCTACACAGAGTAGGAGATAAATTACCGACCGCGACTGGAAGAAATGGAAGGAAATCTCGTTATGTGTGTCTCAATCGCGTAATGTCTATTCATATTTCTTGAGATACAATTAGATATTACATGACTGAAACGCATATAACGGGATTTTTGCAATTTTTTTTCCAGGTCTGGCCACTTGCGGTCGGTACGAGATGTGTCCGAAAAGCAAATATCGTCCGTGATTATCTCGCAATAAATAATTTCAAGCTCGCAAGCGCCTTGATTCTTGGACGTACAGAATCGCGCTGGATATCTGCTCGTTGGCTAACCGAGCACGGATGGCAAATCGCGGAGATTGAGCGACCACGCGACGATATAGAACACCAATTATTCCCGGAGAGCGATCGCGATTTCTTCCCGTGTTTGTCGCGACCGCGTATCAAAAGAGAATAACACGATACGCGAGTACGGCGCGGGCGTAACAAAAACTCGTTCAGTTGTCGCCGCGCGAATGATCCTGCGTGACCTTGTTTCGCGGAAATTCGAAAAAACGACGTAGCGCTATAGACCGAGCGGCGTAAACAACTCGGCCGAAAGCCGAGCGCCGGTTCCACGAAATGACGTAGCGCCGTAAAAACGCCTGAAAAACACCTCGATCGAAAAACGGTCTATCAGTTAGCGCGGCTCAGTTAGGCTCAGTCGAGCGAGGCGAATGTTTCGCGTGTCTTCGCGTCGCTCGTCGCAACGCGATCGCTTCCTACGAGAATCTCGATCGTCCCGTACGAGCAATGTCGACGTTTGTCAATCGCGTTCTAAGCCAGCGGCACGCGGTACTGTTTTTCTCACTCAATCGCTTACGATCACTTCAAGTACAAGATCGTCGCATGGGGCCTAAAGCCTATCACACAATGCCAGGCAATAGGCAATAGGAATAGAGAATAGAATTTTTGACGCGTTGGATTCGTCGGAAATTTTCTTCCAACCAATCCAACGCGTCAAAAATTCTATTCCCTGTTCCTATTGCCTGTGCTTTCCTATTGTGTGATAGGCTTAACCGTAGCGCGGGAGGCGAACCAAAACTGTGCGAATCTGCGTTACCCACTTGGCAAAGTGCGGCTGAACTTCTCTCTCCGGCTAAACGCGAAACGCTTGCACGACACGCCGACAGAGGGCGGTAAGTCACGTGCGCGCGCGTTGGGCGACACGAAATGTTACTAAATGCGAAGCAATTTTTATTTTTCCGAGAATTAATGCAATTTGCATCGCATCCTACGAGCCGGATATCTAATCGGATTTTCGCGAAGCGGCTTCTACCGCGATTACAACGATCGCTCGTTTATCGCGATGGAAAAGAAGGAAAAAGAGAGAAAATTATCCGCGAGAAGAGACCGGCTTGAAGTTGTCGCAGTTTGACTTCCTTATTTTTGCAACAATGCTTACCTGCCTTGTTCAGTGAGGCGAAGCCGCAAGCCGACGGTCGAATCGAGCCCGTAAGCTGATATTGAAACGTAAAAAACAAAAACTAAAATGCAGGAAGGTAAGCTTTGTCTCTCGCTTGCGCGCGGCTGATTCTCGCGTTGTAATCTTCCCGCGAAACTTGCAGAGAAAGCTCGCGCGGGCACGCAAACCGGCGGCAGGTTCATCGATACGCTGGTCGCACAATGGATGAACCGAACGGGAAGCAATATTCCGTTTCAGCAAGCGGAAGAGGTGCGTAACCGCTTTGCTTCGAGGAGCCGCGAGGAACTTTGCAGTAAACACTCGATTTAACCAACCATGAGGGCCCAACGAGTCGAGAAAGGGGCCCGCTAAATCGAGAATAACCCTGGGGGCCATTTTTCACCATTTTTCGTATTTTTAATGTAAAGTTTCCCGAGGGGAAACACGAAAAGTCAAGACTTATAGAAAATTATATTTTGGTCGGTGACATCGAACTGACGTAATTTTGACTTTTCACCTCTCCCCCAGTGAGAAATGATTCGTCGATCGACGTCGAAATGATGTCGAATCGACGTCAATTCGACGGTGTCGATGTCGATTCGACGTCGATCGACGAATCATTTCTCACTGGGCCTTGGGTTGCTTCGTTTTTTTTCTTTTTTTTCTTGTCAACCCTAGTGTTCTGGTGAACTTGAATCAAACTCTTATCAATGGACAATTAACTTGTCGAACGACACCTGCAGCTTTTGTCAGCGTGGATAAAAATTGTAATTTCTTTTGTCGCTTGACGCGAAAAGGCAGAGACGATTGAATTACATAGCTTGTGTTTCGTCTCGAGTTTTCCACCGGTTGATTTAATCGCCGCTCAACTTTGCTTGATCGGAGTTGGATCAAAGTTGCCGCGAACGAAGGAGATGAATTTCCATGAACGCTTTTGCGCGGGTGTAGCAGGTAGCCGAGAGTTCGAACGCGCAGGCAGACAAGCGGCAAACCCAGCAGAGTCAAGAAAGTGTGATTCAAAGTCTAAAACGGAAACTGAAGGAGAGCCAAGAGGCGGAGGCTTCCTTATCCGCCTCCTTGGAGACGGAGGTGCGCAACAGGGAGGAGATTCAAACCAAGTGAGCCTCGCCTTTTTTTTTGTTCTTTTTCTTTTCCGCCAAGGTGAATCTCTCCTGCATTCTGCGAGTCGACTTTCTTTTTTGGCAACAACAGAGTGAACGCCACTTGGGTGTACATCGAGAATATCACGGAGTATTTCAATTACATCAAAGAGAGCCTCGCCAGCTTTCAGCAGCACCGCGACAATTTGTCCAACTTGTATGATAGCGTGATTTTGAAGCAACAGGAAGCCATCCAAAAGCTGCAGCTGAACGACACGAGGTCGAAAGGCGCGTTTTTATTCGTACATTAAGAAAGTTTTGGTCGTGATCTACATTTGTGCTATTTGTAATTGTTGATTTTGTAATCGCAGATCTGGAGAATCGTGTCGCGCAACTGAAAAATAAGTCGCTACTTCAAGAGGAAAGGTAGTTTTCGTCGTATCCCGATAAATACTTCGCGTAATCAGACGAAAATTTTATTAAAAGTCATCTTTTTAATTAGATTACAAGAGGCAGTGGCGGAGCAGAATAAATTGCGGAAGCAATTGGAAAATTCTGAATACGAGCTGCAGTTGCAAAGAAATGAATTGACGAATGCACATGTCGAGGAAAAGTTGACACTCGTCAAAGTTCGTTGCCTCAGGCATTCTTCGAAGAGATTTTACAAACGTATTTTGCTACGATGTATCTTGACTGGTGGTTTTTCTAATTTAGGAGCAGCAACGGTTGGTCTTAGAACATGAAAATTTACAATCGAGACTGCAGACGATCGAGAAAGAGAAATGCGTCATCGCGAAATCGAGCGTACAACTAGAGAATAAATTGCTACTTGAAGAAAAGAAGTAAGTCATCGCGCCAAACGCAATAAATTGCACGAACTGTAATAATATTAGCTGAATAACTTTTTTTTAGAGTGGAAGAGGCGCTGACGGAGCAAAATAAGTTGAAAAAGCAAATGGAGAATGCCGAACGCGAATTCCATTCTCAGAAAAATGAATTGGCGAACGCACACGCCGAAGAAAAGAAACTGCTTATCCAAGTACGTTAAAAGAAAACATTTTTGTTTTCATTATTTTTCTTCTTTTCATTAATCCATCATATTTTTATTCTGTTAATGTTCATTTCAGAAACAGTTGCAACTAGAACTAGAATCGCAAAGTTTGCAATCACGATTGAGTATGTTAGAGCAAGATAACGGGAATATTACGGAAATAGTCGCGCAAAGAGACGCGCTTATCTCAAAACTTCAGGATGAAGTCTCCAAGTCTACGTAGGTATTTAAATTGATAAAACCTGTTGAATGTTTCGAAATTAAAAATATCTTTCAAATTGCATCCTATCGTTAGACTTATTAAGGTTAATGTGTTTTTTTGTGTGTGTCAGAAATCAACTGGATATGATGATTACGAAATATGAAGAGTTGAACACTGCCTGTGAGGCATTAACGGAGAAGCAAAATATGCGGGAGAATGAATTGCTTACAAAAACAGCAACAGTAAGTTATATTCAGGGTTTTATTTCGTAAACCAGTCTTTTGCCATGACAGATGGATTACCGACCAAAACTGTAGCCAACTCTGGAAAACTGGAAAATATCTCGTTATATATGTTTCAATCGTGTAATATCTAATTATATCTCTCCAAATACAAATAGATATTACATGATTGAAACATATATAACTAGAGTTTTCCATTTTTTCTCAGGTTGGCTACAGTTTCGGCCGGTAATCCATATGGGAAAAGACTGGTTCACGAAATAAAACTCACCCTGTAGAGGCTCGTTTGTTAACTTGGGCTAATATATGATACTAGTCTTTATTAATGTTACTTTAATATTTTCTAATGTTACTTTCTAGATTCAGAATTTAGAGATGATGTTGAAGGCAACAAAGCAAAGGGAGGCAGGTCTTATTAATGACGTAAACAAAATGGACAAAAAATTAACTGACGAAATAAATTATTCCAAGAATCTCGAAAATAAGCTTTCGAACGTGCAGAGGGACTTTCAACTTGCACAAAAACAGAACACTGAGATACAGCAGACTCTAGAGAGAACTAAGAGCACCAACGAGTCTGCCAATATCGACCTGCAGCAGCAAGTGAAGATTCTTCAAAGGGAAAAAGAAGAAATTATGAAACGAGAAAGCCTGAAGGTTAAGGTAATATAAACGAATAAATTTAATATATTAATAAAATCCTCTTCTCACGTTGGATACTCTAAGAATTTCTTAAATTTTCGTTTCTTGAACTTTTACAGAACGCAGAGACTTTGTATGAAAATAAGCAAAGCAAACATGCTGAAGAAGTTTATACTTTGAAGAACAATTATGAAACACGATTAAATGAATTTAGAAAGACCATAGACCACCTAAATGAGGTGATCAATGGCACCAAGAAAGAAACTAGCGTGCTGAACAAATCTTTAACGGAAACAAAAGCGGAGAATATCAGTTTAAAAAGTAATTGCGAGTTTCTCACAAATCGT